ATCCTTACAAAATAAATTTATGAATTTTATCAAATTATTAGAGAATTTTCATCGATTTAATTTTTTAAAATGGAATCCACTAAACTATTGAAAAATTCTAAAAATCATTTTTTCAAAAAAAATAGTGTTGAAAAAAAATTAAAAAATAAAATAATTTTTATCCTCCAAACTATTGAAGGATTACTTCTCAAATTAAGTCTTACTAAACTATTGAGAGATTTAATGAATTTTCTAAAAAAGAAAAACTTTTATGAATCTTTTTTTAATAAAATCTTGGGAGATTTACTTCAAAGTAAGTCCTACTAAACTATTGAAAATCTCTACTAATATTTTAGAACAAAATACTTTATTAAATTCGACGATGGAACTTCTTCAAAGTAAGACACTAATCTCCATGAATATTTCTAAGGTGAGAGAATTATCTTAAATTTCTACCAAATTATTGGAGTAATTTTAAGATTAATTCTCAATACTAAATATTTTGGTAAAAGCATAAATATTTTTTAAGGCTGAGATAATTTGAGATCAAACCGATACCATCTTTTGATGGACATTGTGAAGGTACTATAACCTTCCTCATACATAATCATACTTTCGAACCTAAACTCTAGTTTTATATATCAAAATTTACTATTTAAAGATACCCAAGTCAATCTTAGGACTCCTCTTTAAATATGACAAATTCAGTCAGGTGATCAATCACACATAAACAAAAAAGATTGGTGGTAACTCCTCTAATCCATGTCTAACAATAGATCCATGAATTTTTATGTTATGACATATATGTTATAAAAATATATATATAATATTATTTTTCTAATTAAATTAAATTATAAGCTTAACAGTATATAAAATATTTTGTTCATCATATGTATTCAGAGCATTTATATCTACAAAATTCATAAATATATTAAAATATATATTTTAAATGAGCATATCGATTTTAAGTTATAATTAAAATATGTGAAAAAAATTATTTTAACTTATAAATATAAGATTAAAATATCATAAATTATTTTAAATATCATAAATAAATATTATTAGAGAAATTATCAACTATATTGACAGTGAAATTTTTTAACTCCACAAGCGGAATTAAAATGATAGAACATCCCTTTTATATTTAAAATAATTAACTTTAAAAAAAATGGGATATATTATCATTTTAATCCCGCTCATAGAGTTAAAAAACACCACTATCAATGTGTTAAATTATTTCTCAAATTATTATGATCAAACTGATTCTTTGTTTCATTTTATGGTAAATTGTGAAAATTAAAAAAAAAAAATCAGGATCGCAATAAGTATGACTATTACTATCTTATTCGTTATGTCTATAATCCTAATAAGAATAATATGACCAAAAATACTACTGCAACTGCATTTTAAATCTGACCTATTGGTTAAGCTTGAAGAAAAACAGTAAATTCTAAGAACATGTTCTGTTCTTCTCCGAAATTGTATAATCTTCCATTTTGAAACTTCATTTATCAGTTATTTTCCTTTTATGAGTTATTTAATTGATAATCTTCCATATCAATTAAAAGAAATAAAAGAACGAGACTACAGCATCCTATATATATATACCAGATCAGAGAATCAATATCCTCTAATTTCTGTCTATCTTTGGGGAAAATAGTTCAATGACATGCCAGACATATAGTTTCTATTAAGGTTAAGTGGATTTGGAGGCCTATATCTTGACATCGTCAGCCAAGTCTATGTGGAGGAGCCTGTTACAATAGATAGAATTGCTATGAGAGATGTCAATTGCATGGAAAAAAAAAAAAAAGTCAGGATCTCTAAATTATATGAGTGAGAGTGGCATATTATTATTATTATTATTTTTTGGTACATAAGATTCGAAATAAGAAAAAGGATTTTAGGTGCTCCAATTCAAACTCTAAATCTACTAAATATAATTTTTAAAGATAGTTGCATGAAGTCAATTGAATTAAGTTGTGGATTATATATTATTCTACAATCAAAATCACCAATAAATTGATAAGCTACTGGCTTCCTATCCAGTTTTCACCTTCCCCACTTATCAAAAATGGCCGAAATCCTTGAAGCATATTGGCCTTTGGTGGATTGTCTTAATTCTCATTGAATCAGCATTCTATTTGCAACTCATCCAAACACGAAACCCTGGAGTGGAATCCGAAGAGGAAAAAGACTACTAGCTACATATACAATGCATCAAACGCTACACAAACCTGGCGGTCATGATCATTTCCTGGTAAAATCTTAGCAAAAATAAAAGTAGTGTTATCACATCATATTGGGGCATCATAATGCAATTCCTTTTCTTTGATTGTGAAAAGAAAAGAACATAACCTTTCACGTGTAATTCAAACCATAAAATGAGAGGACACCAAATCTTCTAGTCCAGGAAAGCACCAGGTGGCTGATGCAACAGCCTGCAAAGTCATATCAGTATCTCATATATAAGCCGAAAACCTAGTCAAATTTTCTTCTATGTAAGCAATCCAATGGGATTTTATCAATTGTAGAGTGTCATTCACGGCCTGTAATAACGGTAAACAGTCCAATTATAATGTGAAAGAAGAGATTTGCATTTTGAGACCAAAAAAGAGAGAAAGAAGATTTTCATAGCTTCTGAAAGGTAGCAATAGAGATGAGCTCATCATCCCATCATTTAAAGGATAAACATAAATTTTCTGTCATGAATATGAAGAAAAATGAGAACAAATTAAGGAATAGTGGAAAGGTTGACCCTCTAGCCACCAAGTATTTCTTGCAACTCTTGGTCAATGTCACTGTCAGATATCACAAGATTTAAGCAGTGGGGCATTTAACTTTTGATTGATGCAAATTGCAAATGCTGAATAGCTCAAGTATTCTCTCTTTGGCAAAGAAGCTGTGGTTAATATTAATCCTTTAAAACAAACAGAGGAACTATGTAAGTCATAATTAGCTGGAAACAGTCAGAATTTGTATACCAGTTTCTATATTTTCAGACAAATTTCAAGTTTCTGACACTAGAAAAATTTGTTGACAAAAAAATAATAATAATAATAAAAGAATATTATTCTCTTGTTCACCGTCGGTGGAGTGAAAGGATTCGCCAATCTTTCCCGAATTGTGCCGTTGCTCCTATCCACAGGAAATGTATTTTGTCCACAATATAAAATTTATTCTCTCTCTATTCAAGGGGTAAAAGAAAATTAATATATTTAATTTAAATCAATAATTTTATTTATAATTTATAATTTTTTTTCTTTCTTTCTATTTTTCTTTCTTTCATTGCAAAGAAAAATAAATAATTTTCCTTCCTTCTTTTTTTTCTTTTGGCTTTTTCACCTTTTTTTTCCATTACTTCCATTTTTCTTTTTTGTTTCCTATCAAATTTAGTGTATAAAAAAAATAAACGTTAAAATTATCATTAAAGAAAAAATGAATAATCGTTGGTATGTTCTTTATTAATACATCTAACGTATATATAGACTCATATGTAGTGTTGCAGGCAAAACAGACGAGGTAAATTCCTCTTTTTGTTTTGGATAAAGATAAGAAATTCATTGAAAATCATATGATATCAGGATTGCATAAAGAGCATTCACGGACTACCAGTATCGCATTCCAACTTTGCCATGTTATGTTTGAAAAAACTTTAGAAGTTCTTTAAATAAAATTTCTAAAATTTTTTTATTAACAATGAATAAAAATAAATAAAAATGATAGATTAAAAAGATCTTATTATATAAATTAAGTATGCAAAATTTGAGAAAAAATTTAATAAAATCTGAAATACTTTTTAATTAGATAAATATTCTTAATAAAAATTTTGATATAATTTTTATTGTTAAATAAATATCGATCAAATTTATGTTATAAATTGCATTTTAATATTTTTCACATATTATTATTCTTTTCATTGATTTATATTAATCTATCTATTTGGATTTTTTATTAAAATTTTTATTGAACCATTTTTAAATTAAAAATTTCACCTAATAAACTTTATTTAAGTTAGAGTTGAATAGTCCAACCAATTTATCGAAACTCAATCCAATTTGGTTTTTGATTAAAAAGCCCAATAACCTTAATGTTCATCTCAAAGCTTAATCAAAACGAATTGAAACTTGAAAGACTTATCGGATGATCCAAACTTAAATTTATTTAAATTTAAAAGGTAACAATTTAAACTTGAAATAAGTTGAATGCATCGTACTCAAACCTAAATAATCCATCCGAGTACTAATCCTATCTAATTTGAATACGGAACAATTCAAATATGACTCAACGATTTAACCTGCCCAATTGCCGCCCCCAACGTGGACGAGGGTGCCAAGTCTGATGTGGATGAGGGTGAAAGCCATGAGGTCTAGAATTGGTAAAATCAATAGGAAAATTTAGGTTGTACTAATACTATGCTGTATAAAGTTGTCATTGGTGATTTATATACATTCTGAGAGGAAGGAAATCAATACGTTTGTGTTTGTAACTTGGGACAATGAAATGCTTCTCGGTGGATCCAAACGGCTTGGTTTGTATATCTCGATGTAACCTTATCATCAGACACATCAATAATCATAACAGGTTCAGCAGAGTATAACAATTTGTTCAGTCATACCAAGGGCGGGATATGCTGGTCCTAAGTGCAGAAATTTTAACATCGACAACTAATCTACTTAGCAGCATGACAATGAAAATTTGTGATGAAAACAAAATATACAACAAAAATATTGTAGGCTAGAATTTGTGAAAAGTTGTAGGCAATCATAATTCCATAAATTATACCCTACTTTGACAAAGAAGTGCAACATACCATCATATACCTTGCAAAAGAACTTAAACCGGATGCACAGTGTATTACGCACAAATACCTGCTAAAATTATGGGGCTATGGAATTCCATGCTAATCCCTGTCATGAGCCCCTCTTTCCAAGTTGATGCAATAATATTTTATATATATATATATATATATATATATAATAAGCTCTTTTGCGGTGCATGTTAATACGAGAATAGCGCTCTAGCGGCCAGTGCTACAGAATGACGAGTTTCTTCCAACAAACAAAGTTAACATATGCTTCATTCCCAGTAGGGGAAAAGCCCCCCTAAAAACTGTTATCCAGTGAGCATCAGATTGAAATCATAAGCAATGGCAACATCAATAAATTTCAAATTTCAAAGCTCTTATGATCAAGAAAATGGGCCTGAATAGCCCTCACTTTTTGCAAACTGTCTCTGTTGTACTTAAGGTTTTGGAGCTGAACAAAAATGGACATCCACAGTATAACACAAACATAAAACAAACATTAATTCTATCCACCTGCCAGTGGCTTTATAGCCTACAAGCATCAAACTACCTCTACACTGAAAAGAAGAAAGGACGAAAGGTAACATAAGATTGAAAAGAAATTACGTAAGTGTTGTCAGATTTGCAAACCATGTAACAGGTAAAACACCTGATAAATGTTGAACAAGCTTGTTTCTTGATCCACCTAGCGAAAGAGCCTTTGCACTGATCTCTTAGGCACTTTGCCTTCAAGCTTCAATCTTCTATATGCTTCTCTGATGTGGCAAGGCCTGATTGGTCCAGATTCTTTTCTCTCCGTCATGACTATTCTAGCTGCAAACAACAAAAATAATGAAAAATAAAATTTGCTGTTTAAATTTGGATTGATGATCTTTTTATCACGAAGCCATATATTGGATTGTAGCATTTGTTGCATTGGTTGTGGACAACGTAATTAATTGAGAAAGCTTCAAATTGCTGCACTTACAAGTATTCTTCCATTTGAAAAGTTTTGTTCTGTTTGTTTTCTATTTCAATCAAACTGATTGTGTCCGAAAATGAAATCTCAACACTACTGCTTTAGGAGAAAAGTGCACATACCTGTCTCAATAAGTTCACCAACAAACATTTTTGCTATCCCACACACAACAATGGTCATTGGTAAAGAAATTTTCTGGCTTCCAGTGATGCTTACCAACAACTGTATTTACACCAGAACAAACCTGAAGTCAATGTATAATCAAATCATGTTTTACAATATTGAAATGCCTAAATGAGCCATGGAACTATCGCAGCTAGTACATAAGCCACAATGAATCTCGAGTCCATTTATCAATATAGGCAAAATTTTCAGCTAATTGTCACTCTCATGCAAATGAAAAAAAATACAAAATAAAAAACAGAAATGTCCAGAGTTTAAGAGATCACCTTTATCTTTTGAAAGAAGCATAAAATAAGTTCAGAATGTAAAGCATGTAAAAGATACAACAAATAATTATAAATCCACCATATAATAAAAAAAATCTTGAGAAAGAACACCCCCCCCCCCCCAAAGAAAAAAATCTGCTCAGAAGCCTACCCTTCTCATGTTAGACTTTTGAAGTGCAGATCTCCTAAAAGATTCATATCTACTCATCTGATCCTCCGTGAATTGTGATAAAATGGCCCTGAATAGAAGAAGAAATATAACAGCTTTAGTTGGATGCCCCCTTAATTATTAGAGAAAGGCATCAAAGTATGGAGCAGGAGAGCATCAATTTTGAAACAGTTATACTTGATCATATAAATACTACAAAACATGTCTGTTTCTCCTTATATAAATACCTGCAAAGTAGAACAGGAATAACAAGCATGAAAAAAAAAGGAAACTCACTGCATCTTGGCCATTTTAGCAGGGTCAGCACTAGAAGGGAACTTGCTAAGCTCAACGTCCACATTTTCCTCCTCTTCATCATCATCATATTCTTTGTTCTTACTGGTGACAGCAGCAGCAGCAGCAACATTAGCGTTAACACTAGTGGAGAGCAACATAGGAGTTGAACTGGATGATGGGTGAGAGGGATTATCAATGTTGGTGCCAATGTCATCATAATCATCATCATCTACAAGAATATTGTGTCCAACAACAGTTTGGTTCTGGGTTTCAATTGGAGTTTGGCTGTTCAACTCATCCTGACCAACCGGGGAATCAGGTGGTGATTCCTCTTGCTCCTCCAATGCTGCTTCAAACGGATCCTTTGATTGCTTCATTCGATTTATCTGCTTAGGATTCCATCAGACTATATTTAAAAAAATCATACAAATATAATGCATATAAATTAGATGGTAGAAAAAGGAAGCATGCTGACCACATATGTACTGCAAAACTGTGGTGAGCTTCCTTTCCCTGAAAAAATCACCATCTAGTTAGGTAGGTTTAGGGGTTTTGCTCTTTAGTGTTATGGCTAGGTGCTAGAGTTGGGATTTAGAGATTAAGATGAGGCCAGAGGGTTTTGGTTAAGGTCTTAAGTTAGGGATTAGGCAAGAACAAATATGCTCCACAGGTCCAGAAAAAAAAAATATTTAAGAAATGCAAGGAGATGTGTATGCGAATGACTAGAGGAACAAAGCAGCAAAAATCGCTGACAATTGTTTTATCCCATCACTACAAATTTTCAAAAAAAGAAAAAAAAAAGAACAGAGAAAATGAGCAAGAAAAAGCAAAGAAATCATTTAGATTCTGGTCCCAAAAGGCTGGGCCTACCGGGGCCACAACAGCAAGCCCAAGGCCAGCCCACCGATTTAACAATTATTTCATTATTAAAATAACATAATATTATTTTATACTAATATTTTAATATGTTTATATCTAGTTTATCTGTATGGAGAAAAACAGTAAGCAGCATGACAAGAGAACCCACACCATCTCTTTTATCCTTAATCAAATTACAAACGCTGTCAGATGTAGACTTCATGAACTTCAACAGATCCAAGGGGACAATGTAAATAAAATGCTTGTTCAAAACAGAGGGCTAGAGGATAAGATGGTATAACTATGTTTTGTTATTGTCTTTTTCTTGATGTTATGAATAGCTTGCTGCTCAGTAATGCTGGTACTCTTTATAGCAATCTAACCTGGTTCTTTGGATGAAAATAAATCTCATTTATCCAAAAAAAAAATAATAATATTTTAATATTTTAAATGTCTTAGAATTAATTAAATAAAAATATATTCCTACAGAAAAAAAATAGGCCAGAAAGGGTCTAAAAATCTATGCCCAAGCATTCCCAAGTTGGGGCCTGGGTGGGTAACCCGATCCTTGGTTACGTCTAATTTCGAATCTAAACTCCTGAACATAAAATAAAAATGAATAAAGCACAAACAATCCACATACTAATGCTTAGAAACTATGGCATTAACAAATTTAGAGGAAGATGATCCCTGAAAATGAACTAAATTAAAGAAACCCAAACCATCAAATGAATTACACATATGCCATAAATCAAAGCAACGAATTTAACCAAAAAAAGTAAAGAAAATGCAATCAAGAAGAAATTTCTAGCTTTCTAGTTCTAGGTGCAGTGCTAATATAGGGATATTATCACTTGTTGAAACACATAAAATTCCAAAATGAGCCAAAGAAAGCAACGACTGAGCTAAAAAAAATGAGCATTGAATTCCAAACATGATTTTTTTTTTTTTTTGCCAATGAATTCCATACATGTTTAAACATTGTAGGTACACTGTCAAAGAAAGCAAAATCAAAAGCACAAAACTTAACATAACAATAGTTTTAATGGTGATAGGGCATTACCCAAAAGATTGAAGCAATTGATAGTACTAAGTAGTTGCTTGTACTGTACAGGTCACAACCGTATTTGGGGTTTAGCTTCTGGCTTTTGGAGGCCTCCTGTTACTGAGATATTCGAACTCAATCACACGGTCCCTATCGCCAAGGGATCGTAAGCAATCCGATTCGCTGAAAGATGCCAACCCAATTTGAAGCTTATAAGATTTTAAATTAGAAGAATTAACCAAAATAACAACAAATAGATTGAAAACCCGAAATAAAAGAAAAGCCTAGGTGGAGACAGAATCGGTGAAAAAAATTTACCTTTCGCAATATGAGCACAGATTAGCGAGTTTCTGCTACAGATGAGATAACGAGAAGGATTTGAAGCATTCTCTACAGCGAGACCCTAATTGAACGGTGGCATTTATGGTAATAAAAGAGGTTGTCTTATATTGATTGTGTAATTTTGTTTTTTTTTTTTTTCGAAAGTGTAATTTTGGTGATTTTACTATTTATCTTTTGATTTTTCAATAAAAGCTTAATAAATGGAAAATAATTTTTTGAATATAAAAAATAAATAATAAAAAAATAAAAGCATTATTTTTTAAATCTTAATAAATAGAGCAAATAACACCTGTAATTTTTAAATTTTAGATTATATATCGTTTTTGTTTCTATATTTTTAAATTTTATTTGTTAGTCCCAAACTTTTAACGATGTATCTCCATTAAGTATGACCCAAAATATTTGTTGACGACACGTGTTTACTAATTTTGTATTTAATTTCAAAAATAAATATTATATATAAAAATAAAAACCTATTAAAATTAAAAATTTTGAAGATTATTTATTTTACACTTAAATATATTATCCAATTTTTAAAATTTAAAATTCATTTGCTTATTTATTTTAAATTATAAAACTAGATAAAATATATTATATCTAAAAATTAAATAAAAAACAAAAACTTATTAAAAATAGAATTTTAAATTTATTTATTTTAAATTATAATATTTGATTAATCTTATTAATATATATTTTTAAAATAAAAAATTCCTAAAAATAGTAATTTTAAAAATTATTTTATTAAAATTATAATATTTGTAAATTTGTTAAAAATCTATATTATGTATAAAAATAAGAAACAAAAAATAATTTTAAATAAAATATTAAAAATATTTTGAAATTTACTTATATCAAATTATATTATTTTGCAAAATATATTACTAACTTTTTTTCAAAAAATGTTTACTATTATTATTATTATTATTATTTTCTTTTTCATTTTCTTGTTTCTTGTTTTTGTTTCTTTCTTTTTAATTGCTGCATCAAACAGTATTTAATGATGAAATTAATGGATAAGTTGATAGAATGGTACCAATTCGTTATGATACTTGAAATGATGGACCAATATATTACATTTTGAAACTTAGGGACTAATATGCCCTCAAAATTTGAGTATAGGGATATTATTTACTGTAATAAATAATAATCACTTGTAATTGCTAGCAGTGCCTTGGCTTATTAGTAAAGAAAATTTTTTAAAATTTTAAAATCTTGAGTCTCATTGTGTATTAGTTTAGTTCAATTTTACATTAATTTTGTCCAATATTCTTATTTATTTACTAATTATTCAAAATTTATTTTATATATAAATGTAATATTTGATTATAATTTTTATTTGTACTTATAATTTCATAAAAAATCATTTGTCACTAAAAAGATAACTCGAATTTAAAAGTAGAACTAAAATCATTTAATGTCAATAAGATTTTTCAGCTAAACATATTAAAAATCATAAGTAATTAAAAATTACTTGTGTTAAAGCTAATCTTATTTTAAGAAAATATTTTTATTTAATTATATTAATATTGATATATCTTTTGTTAAACATTTATTTTCTTCCATTTTTATCAATATAAATATTTATAAAATCATATCTCTTTTTTTAAAAAATTTAAATAAAAATATTTAATATTTAATTTACAATGACGTATCTATGAAAAAATTTAAAAAAAATAGCTGGAAATCCTCTCCAAACTCTAACATTTAAAGTAGCATTTGATACTATTTTCAAGATTATTATAATCATTTAATCACTAAAAAGATCTTATTATTAAGGTAATCTTTTCAATAAGTGATTTAAAATAACTTCATTTGAATAGCAATCATTCAAAAACTATTTTAACGTATTTAACGTATTATGTTTAGTTAATAAAATAAATGTTTGGTATTTAACGTATTATGTTTAGTTAATATTTTGATTTGTCTAGAATTAATTTTGAATATGAACTTGACTCAAGTAAAAATTTTATTGCTAAATCAAATATAAATGTTTTTATTATAATCTAAATAAAATTATGAATAATTTTTTTAGAAAATAAAAAACATAGATGTCATAAACTGTTTAAAAAAAACATTAAACAAAAATTTTTATAATTATAATTATAATTATTATATTTTGTAACAAATTATGCAAAATAAAAAAAAAATTTCACGACCGCGATGACCGTAATGATCTCCGTTATATCCGAAAACATGATAAATGCGATGTGATCGAAAACATTACCGCGACCGCTATTTAAATCCTTGGGAAAGGTATCACTTACATCATGTCAAGCAGTGAAGACTAGTTCCCTGTACTGCTAGGAACAATAAAATGCATAATTAGAACTTTTGTGGGCTTGGGAACCCACAAACAATTCATACTTTTCACAAAATGTTGAAGAGAAAAGATTTTAATGTGGTGTTTTTGAGTGAAACTATTCTACAAGTAGCTGAGCTTGATAAAATTAGAAGAAAATGCAATATGAGGGTGTGTTTCGAGTAAGTTGTTATAGGACAAATGGAAGGTTGGTGATGATATGAAAGGAGGTTTGGTTGAAGTTACGTGTCGATATAGAAGTCTTATTTGAAAGGGGAAGAAAATGGAGAATTACAAGTTTCTATTGTGAATCGGATGCCAATTGGAGACAAAACGCATGGTCCATGTGATGAGAGCAAATCTACAAATGCACATAATCATAATCGAGTAATAAAAAAAGTAAGTAGAGATCATTCCTATGGAGATTAAGATATATGAAAGAGATTTGAGTATTGAGATTGTGCACCTTCTGGGGTGTTTGATTCACGAATTCTTAGATTTTTGGGAAAAAAAAGTGATTTAAGGAGAAAGTAATATTAAAAAAGAATATATGATTCTTAGGTTTTGTTGACTTAAGAATTATAAAATTTTGTGTTTAGTTTATAGAAATATATAATTACCTAATAAAATCATTTATTATATTATCCTTAATAACACGTAAATAACATGTGACATTCATAATATTGACATGTGAACGCGATACTTGAATAGTACATTATCTTTGTTGAAACTAAATAATTCTAAAAAATAATTTTTTTATATTTTCAACAAATACAATAGTACAAGTCTAATTACTATCCTAATGTTTATTGTCCTTACGTAGAGAAAATAAACTAATCGATCTCCGCGGTAATGTCGATATGGTGTTGGAAAAGAGTGGTGAATCTTCCTTTTGAGAGTTTTCAAGGCGAACCCTTGAAACAAATTTTATGTGTAATAATATTAAATAAATATATTTTAGATTTTATATATAATAATATTAAATAAAGATATTTTAAGTTTTATTTTTTTTTTCATATTTTTAACAAAGACTGTGATTTTTATCTTAGAAAAATTATCTTTTCAACAAAGATTATATTTTTATCTTAAAATATATATTTTTTTTATATTTTCAACAAAGACTACGTTTTTATTTTAAAAACATCATCTTTATTAAATTCTAAAAAATATATTTTTCATTTTTTCAACAAAAACTGTGTTTTTATTTTAAAAACACTGTCTTTTTAACAAAGATTGAGTTTCAATATTAAAAACATTGTTGTTATTGAATTCTGAAAAATAATATTTTTTTATGTTTTCAACAAAGACTGCATTTTTATCTCAAAAATATAATCTTATTAGCCTTGAATTGATCCTTATTTTGAAATGACAAAACATTAAGCTAAATAAACTTAATCAAGATTTTGAAAAAGATTTATTTAGTATATGTTCTTAAGTTTTATATTTTGGTACTAAATAAATAATATGATTTTCAAAGCTTAAACAAACCTTTCTTTGTTTTCATATTTGTCAAATCAAAACTATCTTTAAACATTATTTATTTGAGCTTAATTGAAAGTCCAATTGTTGTTTTTAAAGTGAACTTATTCATTTTGGACATAATAAAATTTTGATAATATTGGTTTTAAGAAATAGATTAACTTAAGAAAGCTATTTTATAAGAACAAAGTTTTTCCAACATTGAACTTGTTTTATTTTTTTGCATTAATTCACAAAGTTTTAATATTTGTATTTTATATGGTTGGAAATCTCTTTGAGTCTACTTTTTAATGGATCAAACAAATCAAAATCCAATTTCTCTAAGAAAAAATTTAAAATTTTTGCTAGACACTCTGCAATTATTTAAAAACTGCACAATGGGTAATTTTAAAAATTTACTATAATTCGTACATAATGAAATAGGTGATGAATCTTATATGAATAAAAAGCTCTTTAAGTCTACTTTCTAAATCTTTAAATAGTTTTTAATTTGGATTTGTATAACTCAAGATATGATCAAATTAGTAAGTAGAGTGCAAAATAGGAAACAATCACCCAACTTGAACAAGATCGATCCCTTTAGGGAAGAGATTGATTGGTTTTTTACACAAAATTAAACTTTGTGTTGAAAAGGCAAGACGGGATCGATCACCCTATGTATGGGATCGATCACCCCCTTAAACCAATCGATCCCTTACATAAAAAGGATCGATCAGGTCATGATTTTCAAAGGTGTAAATGGCATAAAACTTGAACCAATCGATCCCCTCATGGAAGGGATCGATCGAGTCAACCTTGAAGTAACTCTAATGGCTAGTTCTCAAGCTTTCAACGGCTATTTCCTTCATCCAAAGCATCCCCAATGGCTAGCTTTTCAATTTCTCTATAAATTGGTCACTCTAACACACCAAGAAGGTTGATGAATTAAAAAAGCAAGATCAAACAAGTAATACTTTTATTCTCTAAAAAAATCAAGAGTTTTAGAGCTTAAATTCAATATACTTTGTATTTCTTGTATCCAAAATATTGTTGTGTTTCATTCATCATTTTCTTTATGCTTCATTAGGTAAACACTCAATATTAAGAGGTATTTTAGTTTGTAATAATTATTTGGGTTATCTTATAAACAAGAGGTAAGGTATCATTTTGATATTGTAAGGGTAAAAGTTGCTATCTAAGCCTTGAGAAAAAGATAAAGATTTAGTACAAGATAGGTTTGTATCTTGTAAGAGTTTTTCTTCAATAATAGATTGAAGCCTTGGTGTAGACAACCAATAAGAGAGGAC